AACTATTTTTTTTTTCTTAACCTGGATATCCAACCCGCTATGCGAGTCGACTAATCCCAGAGTGACCACCTGTGTTGCAGATAGCCCGGAGTCACTGCATTTGAACCTCCGTGGCCACAAGGGGATTTTTATTCCTCCTTGGATTTGAACCTGGGACCTCCTGGTACTTTTGACATTTGGAGCCAAGCTCAAACCAATCAGGCATTACCCTTGTGGTTGATACAACCATTTTTAATATTAGGCATCGTCGTTTCCTTGGCGGATTTTGGAAAGGATGATATTTTATTCAAAATACATTTCATTTTAAAAATTGTGATTCAAATAACATCTTTCAGTTTTACAGTTTTTATATTTAAGATGAAAACTGCTTGAACTCACTAAGTGTTAAACCTAAACATTTTTATTTGTCGGCATATGCACCAGGTCCTCGTTGGGGAATAGTACTAGCAACGCTATGAAGAGTTGAGTGCTAGTTAAAGGCACGAGAAATAATTAGCGAATCGGAGAAATCTTCCGTACTTTGGAGATAGCGACAACTAATGGATTTTTAGTAGCATCCACTCTAATATAGACTTGTGTACGCTTGGCATATTGTGCATTGATGTTAAACTTTAGATTGTCATTATAGGTGTTCAAATGTCGATTTTTAAAAAAGGACTTGATGCTTATTTGATGTTTTATTGAAAATTTTAAATTAGTTGCTCTTTCCAAATTTAAGGGGGTGTTACATGCACCACCACTGCTTGTCGGTTTTGATATAGTTATCATCTATTAACGTATTAATATTAATTTAAAATTAAAATAACTGATTTATATTTAAAATCAATAGTATAAAATAAATAGCAACAATGGGATGCATTGCAATATTACATTTTTTTTTTAACATGAAAATCTAAAATAATTACAAGAAAAAAAAAAAAAGCAAAAAGTGCTGAATTGATAATACAACAAAAGACTTAAATGTATAATACCCAAATAAGTGATTCTCTAAAATCAACACATGTATGGTTGAAATATATGCCATCTCTCACTCTCACATGTCAAATCTCCCCAAATGTCTTATTCAATCATACCTACCATCTCCCTTTTTAATGTGATACACCCAACTAACAGAAAATGTATCCTTTTTATATGCATGTCCTTTTTTGTAAATATAAATTATTATTTTTAATGATATACATTTTCAAAAGACCAGTATCAGTATCAATATCAGTATCAATATCAGTATCAATATCAATATCAATATCAATATCAATATCAATATCANTATCAATATCAATATCAATATCAATATCAATATCAATATCAGTATCAGTATCAGTATCAATATCAGTATCAATATCAGTATCATTTTATAGAGATTTGACCATTGATTTAATAGATAGTCAATTGTTGAATCATTCAAATGTTTAGTGTGGCAAACCGTAGTCAATTCAGGCTTCACAATCATTATACGACGTAATCTCACAACCACAACGAGATAAACACATATAAATGAACTTCAAAATTGTTACTGTTGGATCAAAGTATATCCAAAATCATAAATGGGCTTGAGAAATTCGTATTAGTACATACTATAAGTTATTCGCGCAATGCAACGAGATGCATCTTAATTTTAATATTTCATTTTATTATTTATCTCAGTCGATGTTATAATATGGTCTTATGTGATTTTGAAAAAAACGATGATGTTTTTAATTTTGAACAAAATATAAATTTGAATATATCATAAAAATTTAACAAAAATATATCGATATTAGTATCAAATTAACTATTTAAAATTTATCATATTTTGTGTAATTTTTTAATTCAATTTTTTATTATAATTTAATTTAGGTTCAATAACGAAGTAATTTATATTTGGTTTAATAATAAATTTTTTTTATAAAGATGATAATTAATTATTTTGTTAGAACTTGATAATTATCCTAATTATATTTTATATTTTTTTATATTTTAAAATGAGATGTTTATCCTCCATTTGATTATGTTTATCCGCAGTTAGTTACACGAATTCAAGCATGGAGCTTTAATAAGTTGTACTTATGCATAATTTACTTGTAATCTTGAATTTTAAGTAATATGCATTAATACACAGTACTTTTATGCATAAAAGATGGTTTTTAAGAGTTTTTGTCAAATGCTTTATAATATAGTATAGATTTAACGAGAAAGGTTAAAAGCTAAAAATGGTAGGAAGGTTTTCCTTATTAAGCCATTAATAAGACGAAGATTATCATGTATAATCTTTTTTCTTATTTGAATAAAGAGAATCGATAAAGTTTGGGTATTAAGTCGTATCGTTATGGTTCTATGTTTTGGATGATTTAATGCTAACACTTTCACATAAAGTCGTGATATGGTACCAGTGATGTCAACAATGAAATAGGTGTAGGTAACGATAACCATTTAATGGTTCCTAACCATTTTCCTGATTGTCGTACACAAATTTGTAGGTTTACGTTAATATTTTGAAAATACTTCTATTAATTACAAAAGACGTTAGAGGGAAATTAACTATTGCCCTCATATCCGTATTGCGTTAATATGAAACTTAGAATTCAAAAACTTCAACATCATAATTAATATGATCCTTAATTATTTAATATATTTGACTTAATTTGGAATCAATCTTAATTAATAGGGAATTAGATAGATTTTATTGTTGTTTAATTCATAATGAATTTGGCCTAATCATATGTGAATATGATAAGCAAATGGTTCATTTAATAAAACTAAATAAATAAGCAAGTTGATTTTGTTAATTATGTTGCCACCCTTGCATTATCTTAAAAAGATATCAATATATAACTTATTGGCATGCAATCATAAAACATGATCATGTTATTATTATAATATTACAAACTCTCATTTAATTTGGATCTTTAATATCCATTTGCATCATTCAT